CCTTCTCGCCGTCACGCTCTGCAGCCTCCAGCACCCCCACGAGCCACTGCAGCTGCCCTGCAGGGTCAGTGGAGTTGATGAGAAGCCAGAAATTGGCCTGGGAGCAGAAATTCATGTTGAGGGAAACGAGGCGCAGCCCCGGCCACACCTGTGCCGTGTAGAACCCAGCAGCTCTGGAGGGAATGAAGGGTCAGAGAATCATAGAACTGTGAAGGCTGGAAAAGCCTTCCAAGATCTCCAAGTCCAACCCCAGCCCACCCACACCGTGCCCACTGTGTTCCTCAGTGCCACATCCCCACAGTGCTGCAACACCTCCAGGGATGGTGATCCCAGCACCTCCCATTTGGACCAGATTATCTTGTAGGTCCCTTCCAACCTTATGATTCTATGACTCTTTGGAGAAGAACTTTTCCCTAATTTCCAACCTGAACCTCCCCTGCTGCAGTTTGAGACCATCACCCCTCACCCCATCACCATCACACGGTCAGTACTGCGGTCAGCACCGGCGGTGGGGCTGCACCGTGCCCACAGCACGCAGCGCCCTGAACCCCCCAGCGGCAGGCCGGCACCCACCGGAGGGTCTCCAGCGCCGCGGGGGGCAGCCAGTCCTGCCAGGCTTCGGCCATGGCATCGTAGAGCCACGCAGCCGACTGGTTGCCGCTCACGTAGGGCGGAGGGAAGGCATTGACGGGGGTGGCCTCGTGGTTGCCCACAGCCGGGAAGACGCGCAGCGCTCCCAACTGGCGGCGCAGCAGCGCGCTGACGGTGCGCAATGCCAGCAGCTGATCCTCACGGCGCTGCTGCCACACGTCGTGAGCCGGGATGTCACCCGTCCAATACGCGGCAGCGAACGGCCCCGCCTGGCGCAGCCCGGCCAGCAGCGAGGCGATGGTGCGCAGCGGAAGGTCGCACTTCCCATATTCGCCCCAAAATCCGGCACCGCCTGAACCGGGCAGCGCGGGTCCGCGGCAGCACAGCGGGTCGGGGCAGGACGGGTCGCTGCCCGCCTCGTAGCGCCGATCCCAATGCAGGTCGGTCAGGAACAGAACGCGGGCGGTGGGCGCGCCGGGCGGCGGGGGCTGCGGGGGCCGCACCGGGGGTTTGGGGGCGGCGGGCAGGGAGACGTTCCAGGAGCCCAGGATGTCCCAGCGGCCGCAGCGCGGACCCAGCAGCAGCCCGCACGCCTCGGTCGGCCGCAGCACGGAGCGAGCCCAGGCGGCCACGACGTCGCGCTGGAAAAGCTGCACCGCCTGCTGGCAGATCTCGGCCCGCGCCAGGCGCAGCTCTCGGCACAACCCTGCGGCCACGCGCCCCACGCGCACCACGTTGGGCTCCAGCTGTGGGGAGCGGAGTGCGGGGCTGTGGGACTGGCTGCTCGCCCCTTCCCTTCCCTTCCCTTCCCTTCCCTTCCCTTCCCTTCCCTTCCCTTCCCTTCCCTTCCCTTCCCTTCTTCTTCCCCTTCACCTCCTCCCCCTCCTGTTCCCTTCCCCTCCCCTTCGCCTTCCCTTCCCCTTCAGTTCCCTTCCCCTTCCCTCCCTCTGCCCTTCCCATCCCTTCCTCTCCTGTTCCCTTCCCTTCCCCTTTGCCTTCTCCTTCCCTTCACTTCCCCTCCCCTTCCCCCCCTTCCCCTCCTGTTCCCTTCCTCTTCTGTTCTCTTCCCCTTCTGTTCTCTTCCCCTTCCCTTTTCCCATCCCATCCCATCCCCTTCCCTTCCCCCCTCCCTTTTTCATGTCCTCCCCTCCCCGTTTCCCTTTACCACTTCCCTTCCCCCTTTACCACCCGCTCCATCCGCCTCCATGTCCCCGCCCGCCCCGTCCCGTGACCCCACACATGTCACGACCCGTCCCGTCCCTGCGGTGCCGTCACGAGATCCGCCCCATCCCCGTCCCGCGCCCGTCCCAGCCGCGCGCTGACCCCATTCCCGTTCTCCTCCTCGGCCCCGTCCCTTTGCCCTCCCGTCCTTTCCCGCTCCCTCCGTCCCGTCCCGTCCCGCCGATCCCGGACCTGCAGCGCGAGGTCGAGCGCCCCGAACAGCAGCCGGCAGCCGGGGCACGTCAGGTTCCGCCACCCCCAGCGCGGCCCCGCGGCCTCCAGCAGCGCGGCCCCGGGCGGCGGCTCCGCCGACACCGACAGCGACAGCGATAGCGACACCGCCGTCAGCACCGCCAAAACAGCGCCCAGCGGGAACGGCCGCCCCGCCACCAGAACCGAGCGCACAGCCCGCGCCGCCATGGCCGCGGGACGGCAGCGGGGGGCGGGGCCAAGGGGGCGGGGCCAGGGAGGGGGCGGGGCCAGAGCACGTGGGCGGGTGGAGAGCGGCCTCCGAGTAAACAGCGCCCAGGGCACGACGGGAGGGCGTGGGGCATTGTGGGAGATGGAGTCCTGCGGTGCGTTAGGGGCTATTGAGTCCCGTGGTGCATTATGGGATATTGAGTCCTGTGGTGCATTCTGGGAGATGGAGTCCCTTGGTGCATTATGGGATACTGAGTCCCGTGGTGCATTATGGGAGATGTAGTTCTGTGATGCATTCTGGGAGATGGAGTCCCTTGGTGCATTGTGGGATACTGAGTCCCGCGGTGCGTTATGGGAGATGTAGTTCTGTGATGCATTCTGGGAGATGGAGTCCCTTGGTGCATTGTGGGATACTGAGTCCCGTGGTGCGTTATGGGAAATGTAGTTCTGTGATGCATTCTGGGAGATGGAGTCCCGTGGTGCATTATGGGAGATGGCGTCCCGCGGTGCATTATGGGATACCGAGTCCCGTGGTGCATTATGGGAGATGTAGTTCTGTGATGTATTCTGGGAGATGTAGTCCCGTGGTGCATTATGGGATACTGAGTTCTGTGGGCATTCTGGGAGATGCAGTTTCTGGGGCTTTCTGGGATATTGAGTCCTATGGGTGTTCCTGGAGATGGAGTCCTACTGGTGATGATGGGAAGTGGAGTCCTATTGGTAATTGTGGATCATTATAGGCACTATGGGAGGTGGATTCTCACTGGGTTGAGGTCAGAGATGATGTCTCCCTGGGGACACGAGAAAGCTGGAGTCCCATTGGGGCATTTTGGAGATGCAGTCCTTGTGGCGGGTATAAGGGATGGAGACCTGTAGGTTCTTATGAGAGATGGAGTCCTGTGGACAGTGTCAGAAATGGAGGCTCGCTGATAAAGATGGGAGATGGTCCTGTTGGGGGATTAGGAGGAATGGATTCCCATTGGGACATTCTGGAAATGGAGTCCTGGTGGTAGAATATGGAAGATGGGAGTCCACTGGTAATTATGGGAGATGGAGTCCTGCTGCAGGCCTGGGGAACGTGGAATCCCACTGGGGGTCTGGGGGATGTGGAGATGGAACCCATGAGTGACAACGTGGGGGAGGTAGTCCTGTTGCGGGACTGAGGGGCGTGGAGCCCAGGTGACAGGCTATGGGACAAGAAGTCCTGGTGGCAGACTGGAAAATGGAGTCCCATATGTAATTATGGAAGATGGAGATCCATTGGGCATTATGAGAAGTGGAATCCTATTGGGTCAAGGTCAGAGGTGGAGTTGTACTGGGGCCGTATGAGAGATGGGGTCCTATTGGTCACTGTGGGAGTGGGAGTCCCACTGGTAATTATGGGATGTAGGATCCTGTTTGGGGATTGAGGGAGGGACATGGAGTCCATTGGGCATTGTGGAGATGGAGTCTTGTTGGGGGATTCGAAGAGATGGAGTCCCACTGGGCACTGTGGGAAGTGGAATCATAGAATCATAAAATCCTTAGAACTGAAGGGACTTTTAAGGGTCACGTAGTCCAACTGACCAGCACTACACAGGGACACCACAGCTCCACCAGGTTGCCCGGGTTGTCCAGCCTCGCCTGCAAAGTCTCCAGGGTTGGAGCATCCAGCACATCTCTGGGCAGCCTGTTCAGTGCCTCACCACCCTCACTGTAACGGACTTTTTCCTTACATCCAACCTAAATCTCCCCTCTTTGAGCATGAAGCCATTTCTCCTTGTTCTGTCAGCTCTTGTTTTGGTGCAGCCCAGGATGCAGTTGGCTTTCTGGACTGTGAGGGCACAGTGCTGGCTCATGCCCAGCTTCCATCCACGGGTACCCATGGGTCTTTTCCATCAGGGCTGCACTCAATCATTTCATCCCCCAGCTTGTATTGCTAATGGGAGTTGCCTTACCCCAGGTGCAGACCTTGCACTTGGCTTTGTTGAACCTCATGAGGTTCACCTGGCCCCAGTGCTCAGCCTGTGTCCCTCTGGATGGCATTCTGTCCCTCTGCTGTGTTACTGCACCCCACAGCTCGGGGTCATCAGCAAACTGCTGAGGGTGCACCCGATCCCACTGTCAACGTCAGGGCATTTTGGTTAGGTTGAGGTTGGACTCGATGATCTTTAAGGTCTTTTCTAACCTGAGCAATTCTATGATTCTGTGATGTCATTGAAGAAGATATTAAAGATTATCGGTCCCAGCACCGACCCCTGGGGGTCACCACTCATCACAGATCTCCATGGATCCAGCTGGAGTCCCATTTGGTCAGGGTCACAGATGGAGTTATATTGTGGCCCTACGGGAGATGGAGTACTATTGGTTACTGAGGGAGTTCCACTGGGGGATAATGGGAGACAGTGTCTTCTTTGGGGCATTTGAGGAGGTGGAGTCCCATTGATCAGGATAGGAGATGGAATCTCACTGGGGCATTGTGGAAGGTGGAATCCCAGTGGGGAGCCTACAAACAGGAGGGTAATCAACTCTTGGAAAGGGGAGATAACAGCAGGACAAGGGGGAATGTTTGAAGTTGAGGGAGGACAGATTTCAGTTGGATGTCAGGGGGAAGTTGTTTGCTCTGAGAGTGGTGAGGTGCTGGAACAGCTGCCCAGAGAGGCTGTGGATGCCCCGTCCATCCCTGGAGGTGTTCAAGGCCAGGTTGGATGGGGCCCTGGGCAGCCTGGGCTGCTGTGAAATGTGGAGGTTGGTGGCCCTACATGTGGTGGGGGGTTGGAGTTTCGTGATCCTTGAGGTTCCCTTCCAACCCAACCCATTCTGTGATTCTATGACTATGGGAAATGGTCTTCTGCCAGTCACCGTGGGCAATGGAGTCCTAATGGAGAATTGTGAGAGATGGAATCCTATAGGGCTTGGTGTGGGACGAGTCCTACTGGGCACTGTGAGAGATGCAGCCCCTTCGTTGGGGGAAAGGCTGCAAAAGGCACTGCGGGACGCGGATCCCATCGGGGTGATGCCGGATTTGGAGCTCTGCTGGGGCAGTGTGGGATGCGGATCCCATCGGGGCGCTGTGAACCTGCACGAGTGCCGAGCGCGGTTGTGTTTGCCCAGATGTGTGTGTGTGTCTGCAGCGCTGTGCCACTGCGCCGCGGCTGTGTGTGCACCGAGCGGGGACGGCCGTGCACGGTCGTGCGAACCCGCACAGCTGCGCGTGTCTGCGGTCAGCGCTGTGTGCTGCGGAGCTGATTGTGCCCGCCGGGGGAGACCGCAGCACCACTCGTGGCTCCGGGAATGACCCAACCGCGCCGCGCCTCTTCGTGCCGGTCCGGTCCGGTCCGGTCCCTGCTGTACGGGACTCGGTGCCGGTGCGGGGCAGAAGAAGCGCAGCAGGCGGCACCAGACCAAGGCTTTATTGCGGCCGGACCGGTGAAACCGGGGAGCGGCATTTTCCCCTCGCCGCCCCACCTCCGGCCCTGCCCCGCGGCCCCCCACAGGAAGGGTGAAGGCAGTGCGAAGCCACGCCGGCGCAGTCCCCGCCTCCCGTGCCCGTCCCGCGTCTCCTCGCCTCCCCACGCGCGGGCACCACAACAGGGAGCCCGCGAACACCGCGTGCGGGGCGGCACCGGGGCGCAGAGGATGCAGGGATCCGGGGGATGACTGCGGGGCTGCGCCGGGGCACGAGGGAACTGTTGTTGGGGGCGGCGCGGGGCCGGGCGGGTTCAGGGGGGGCCGAGGCTGCTGACGGTGGTGTAGCTGAACTTGGAGAGCGATGCGTTGGCGTTGGCCACGTCCTCGTCGGGCGCGCGGCGCGGGCAGGCACGGCGGCAGCCGGCACAGGTGCCCAGGAAGGCAGTGCGGAAGCGACGGTTCATGAAGCAGTAGATGAGCGGGTTGGCGCAGGCCGAGGTGTAGGACAGCAGGTGGATGAAGGAGATGGGCGTCCCCGAGAGCGCGCGCTGGGCCGCCCGCGGTGCGAAGGCACGCCAAGTGTTGGCCGCAAAGATGGGCAGCCAGCAGAGGAAGAACATGGCCACGATGACCACCAGCATGCGGATCACGCGCCGTTTGGCCACCAGCTTTGCCTCTGAGCTGTTGATGCGCGCCCGCTCCTGCTGTGCCCCTGCCGTGCCCAGCGCCCGCAGCTCCAGCGCAGCGCCCGGCCGGGAGAGCTGCAGGTAGCACCCGTCGCCCTCGTCACAAGTGGGCAGTGGGTCTGTGCTGCGCTGGGCTGCGGGCAGGAGTGGCACGGTCATGGATCTGCACCGTCAGGACCCAGGTGGCACTAGACGTGGCACTGGGCACGGCACTGTGATGGCACTAGACATGGCTCTGAGCACAGCACCAGGCACAGCACTGAGCATGGCATCGGGCACAGAGTGGTGTGGCCTCCACCAACAGGGTGTGGATATCAGAAAGAGACTTGGCAAAGGGACTTAGTACGGTGCTCAGCCCCCGCTGCTTGCCCTGGGATGAAGGCACTGATCAGAGCTGCGTGGCTCCTCATTTCGCAGAGCCTCACCTGCTGCTTCCCCCTTGATGTCCAGCTCAAAGCGGATCCCTCGGTACAGCTCGCGGGAGATGAGCCCATAAGCCACGATCATCACCACGCCCGGAATGAAGAAGAGGACGAGGAGCAGCAGGACATACCTGGAATTCCAGCACCCGTCGCTCGGCAGCCCTCGCCCTCCCCACGCCGTGCGTTGCCCCCCACTCACCATGCCTGCCTCACGTGCTCGCTGGGCCAGGCGTGAGTGCACTGGCTGAGGGGCGGGCGGGCGCCGGGCACGGGCAGCAGCCGCGTGGTGCTGTACACAGCGTAGGGCAACATGAGCAGGGCTGAGAAGAGCCAGGTGCTGGCGATCACCCGGCAGGCGTGCGAACGTGTCTGCCACACGCGGGACTGCAGCGGGTTGCAGATGGCGCTGTACCGCTCGATGGCGATGGCCACCAGGCTGAAGGTGGAGACCGAGACGGAGACGCCTGCGGGCAGCGAAGGGTGAGCGGCAGCGCAGCGCAGCGCAGCGCAGCGCACGGCTCCCGACCCGCGTCGTACCCATCAGGTAGGCCATCAACTTGCAGACGGCCTCTCCGAAGATGAAGGTGCCCATGAGGTTGGGGATGAGGGTGAAGGGCATGCAGCAGAGCGCCAGCATCAGGTCGCTGAGCGCCAGGGACAGCAGGAAAGAGTTGGTGACGGTGCGCAGGCGGCGGTTGAGGAGCAGCACGGCCACCACAAGGGCGTTCCCGCAGACGCTCAGCACGAAGATCAGCGCGTACAGCAGGACGCGCACCGTCAGGTCCAGCTCTGCGGGTGCACGGTCACAGGCAGCGCAGCGCGCCCGGGAACGGCTCCGCATGCCAGCCCTGCGCTGTGCCCGGGAGCTCCTGCGGCCGTCCCTGCGGCTCACGCGGTGCCAGGACGCGGTGCCACGCGGGCCGAACTCCAGCACGGGGACAGCGGGCGGGCGGCGGAAACGCGGTGCTGCCGTTCCCCGGGGCCGAACCCTGCCTGTCCCGAGTCCCGCTTCTCGCTCCGTCACCGGGAGCGGAGCGGTCCGGCGCGGGCATCACCCGGCGCAGGCATCCCCGTGCGCGGGCAGCGCGATGGGGCGATGGAGCGGGGGTATCCCTGGGGTTCCCGGGCTTCCCTCCCGCCTCCGCTCGGGACGCTCGCTGCCCCCTCGCAGTCCGAGCCCACACCGGGATCGCCGTGTGCTGAGCACCGGGCGATGCTGGGGAAGCGGCGCACCGGGAAGGAGCGGCTCCGGCGCGTCCCGTCCCGTCTCGTCCCGTCCCGTCCCATCCCGCCCGCTCCGCTCTCACCTTTGGGCGCCGGCGGCCCCCGGAGGCCCCTGCGGAGGAGGTCGCAGGCGGAGCCGTTCCAGGTGGGGCCGGTCCCGGTGCCGTTGGCAGAGCCGGTACCGTTCCCGGAGCGGCAGAGCAGCTCCTGCAGGGAATCGTTCAGTCGCCTCGGGTCCATGGCGGAGCCCTCAGAGCCACCCCGTGCCCATCGCGCCCTCCTCGGCAGCACCGGGACCGCTCCGCTCCGCGCCGCCTCGCGCGTTTCGGAGCCACCGAGAGAGTGAGCGGGGGCGGTGCCGGCGGAGGGGAGCGGGGCGGGGCGGGGCCGGGGGCGGTGGGGGGAGGCGAAGGGAGACCGGAGGGGGAGGGGGCTGCGGGGCCGGACCGGAGCCGGAGCTGGAGCCGGAGCCGGAGCCGAGGTTCGAGGGACTCGAAGGGACCTGAGCTCCCCGCCCCGCCGGAGCCCCCGGCCGCTCCCCGCAGCATTCCCCCGTGCCTGAGCAGCCCCCGCCCGCCGCTCCCCGCCGCTGTTTGCGCAGCCCCCCCACTCTGTTTGCTGCAGCTGGGCCGCTCCCAGCCGGGGCCGCGCCGGGGTCCCCCGGGGTGCGAGGCCGCTCCCTCTGCTGCCGCGTCCGAGGCTGCGGGGATCCGTCCCGGCCTCACCCCGGTCCCTCCCGTTCCCAGAACCATCCCTGTCCTCATCCCATCTCGTCCCCGTTCCCTTCCTCTCTTGTCCTCTCCCTTTCCCACCCTCTCGCTCATCCCCTTCCCCATCCCTGTCCCATCCTCACCCTGGGTCACCCGTGGTTCCCGCCCTTATCCCCATCCCCATCCTTGTCTCGATCCCTCTTCCAGCCTCCCCTGTCCCACCCAATCCCATCCCCATCGTTGCTGTCCCCATTCCCATTCATGTCCCACACCTGTTCCAACCCTGTCTCCATCCCTTCCTATACTCATCCCCATTCCTGTCCTTTCTCTATCACTGTCTCTTCCTTGTTCTGCACCCATTCTTGTTCCTTCCCTTTCCTTCCCTGTACCCATTCCTATCCCATCTCCACCCTGGGCTGTCCCTCCTCCCTGTCCCCTTTCACTCCCTATCCCGGTCCTACTCTTGTTCTTGTCCCCATCTCTGACCCCTGCCATTCCCTCCTTATCCTTATCCAAACCCCTGTTCCTGTTCCCATCTGTTCATACCCTCATCCCCATCTCTGTCACCTCCCACCCTGCCATTTCTTGTCCCCTCCTGTCCTACTCCATTCCTGTCCCACCCCCATCTCAGTCTGCCCTTGTGCCCCTTTCCCCATCTTCATCTCCATTCCATCCCCACCCCTCTCTGACCAATGCAGTCCCTGGTCCTGCTGTGCTGAGAGCCCCCAGTCCCCACCTCCTGTGCTCCCAGGCACAGCCCTGTGCCCCCCCTGCCCCACTCCTGCTCTGCATCCTGCCCCATCCCTACATCTCCTATCCCCGTTACAATGCCATGCTCCTCGTTCACCAACAACCACTGCTGTTGCTTAGCAACTGTTGTTATTTGCTACATAGCAACTATTGTCACCATCACCTAGCAGTTGTTGTCATGGTTACCTAGCAACTGTTGTCATTGTTACCTAGCAACGACTGTCACAAAGCACCGCCTGTCACTGCTATTGCAACTCAGCAGCCAGGCAGATCCCTGACCCTCAGTGCCAGCGGCCTCTGGGCTGTGTGCCCCGTGCCCCTGTGGGACTCTGACCCCTGGTGGGACCCCCTACACCAGTAGGACCTCGTGTGCCAATGGGACCTCGTGCACCAGAGGGAGCCCATGTACCAGTGGGACCTCGTGTGCCAATGCGACCCCTTACACCAGTGGGACCCCCTACACCAGTGGGACCTCGTATGCCAATGGGACCTCGTGCACCAAAGGGAGTCCATGCACCAGTGGGACCTTGTGTGCCAATGGGACCCCCTACACCAGTAAAACCCCGTGCCCTGGTGGGCCTATGTGTCCCTGTGGGACCTGCTATGCCAGTGGGACCTCGTGCTGTGGTGGGACCCTGTGCCCCCCTGGGACTCTGTACACTAGTGGGACCCTGCGCCTTAGTGGGATTTTGTGCTCTGGTGGGTTGTCCCTCAGGCTCCCCTCCCCCTGCAGCATGCTGCAGCCTGCTGGGACTCCTCTTCCTGCTCTTCCCCTGTCCCCACTTGCCACACTGCTGCGCCCTGCTCTCCAGGCGCCCGATGCGCAGTGCCAGTTTGAGGGCACTGGACTCCAGCTGTGCCAGGAGCCGCGCCGTTCGTGTCTGCAGAGCCTCCAATGCCGCCTCCAGCACCCGCACTTGCTGCTCAGCCTCCTCCCGAGCTGCTGCCGCTGCCGCCTCGGCATGCACATCCAGCTTGTCCATACGCAGCAGGATCTCACGGCCCTTGGCCTCCAGCAGCGCTCGGGCACTGGGGAATTCAGTCAGTACCTCCGCCAGGTCCTCCTTGGCCAGGCAGAAGAGGTCTGCGTAGCCGATGCTGCGGATGTCAGCTGTGCGCCGGTTCCCCGAGCGGTTCCCTGAGGGTGCATTCCTATGGTTAGGATGGGGTGGTGGTGGCACACGGGGCAGGGATGACATCAGGGCAGCACCAGGACCAGCCATGCTCACCAAAATGTGCCCTGGCTCCATCCTGTGCTCAGGCTCTGCTGGCACCAGTGGGACATGGGGGTGGGAGGGTGGGACAGGAACAGCAGCTTGGGGATGGCATCAAGGGGATGAAACTGAAGGGATGGCACTATGGGGATGGCACCATGGGAATGGAACTGAGGGGATGGCATTGTGGGGATGGTACTATGGGGATGGAACTGTGGGGATAGTACCGTTGGGATGGCAATGAGGAGATGGCAATGAGGAGATGGCACCATGGGGATGGAACTGAGAGGATGGTACTGTGGGGATGGCACCACGGGGATGACACCACAGGGATGGCACTGTGGGGATGGCAATCTGAGGGCCTGGCAGGGGCTCACCGGGGATGTTGATGAGGCTGATCTCTCCGAAGTAGAGCCCCTCTCCCAGCACGGCGAGCTGCGTCACACCATCAGCTCCCAGCACCTCCAGCTTCCCCTCTCGGATGAAATACATCTCACGGCCCACATCACCGCGCCGGCAGATGAACTCTCCGGGCCCGAAGACCTGAGGGCGCAGTCGCAGCACCAACGCCTCCAACACACCACGCTCACAGCTCTGGAACAGCCGCACTTTGCTCAGTGCTGGTAGATGCACGCTGGCAGCCACCTCGGCACGCAACCTCTCAGGCAGGTGCCGCAGCACGACGTGCTCCTCTGCCAGCTTGCGCTGTGCACGCAGGTGCTCGTGCCACGCAGCCACACGTCTCACCAACCGCCCTGCCACGCCGTGAGCCCGCAGGAAGCGCCGCACCGGGCCATGCTCCGGGTAGAAGGAAGCGTCGGCTGCGCTCATGTTGGCGATGACAGAGCTCATGCTGCCCATGATGGTGGCGAAGCCCAGTACGGCCAGCAGGAAGCCGGCCGTCATGAAGAGGAACTCCTCCTCGCGGCACGGCTCCGGTGTGTCACCCACGGTGGTGAGGATGAGGGTGGAGATGTAGAAGCTGTGCAGGTATTGCCTCAGCGGGCGTGCGAAACCGGGCTGGCTCCCATTGGGGTGCACCCAGGTATCAGAGCCCAGCCCCAGGTGCAAGGACAGTGCGAAGTAGAGGCAGGCGTTCCAATGGATGGCCACGAAGACGTAGAGCATCAGCTTGGCGATGCGGAAGGCGTGGGGGTGAGCTGTACGCGTCTCCCGGCGCTCGAAGGCCTCTAAGAGCCGCGGGGCGCGCAGGCAGCGGTTGGAACGCAGGGCTGAGCGCAGGCGCAGGCACAGCAGCTCGATGGGCAGCACTGAGGCCACGTCCCAAAGAAAGCTGCTGGAGCGCAGGTAGCGGTGCCGGATGCGCTCCCGATCCAGCACCAGGATGCCCTCCTCCAGGAACCCTGCGGGGAGCACCTGTCTGGGGATGCTCAGAGGGATGCGGGGGACTGTGGCTGGCAGTGGGGATGGGAGTGAGGGGATCATGGGCTGCTGTGATGGGGGGACTGAATCACAGAATCGCAGAACGGCCTGGGTTGCAAAGGAGCACAGTGCTCATCCAGTTCCAACCCCCTGCTGTGTGCAGGTCGCCAACCAGCAGACCAGGCTGCCCAGAGCCACATCCAACCTGGCCCTGAATGCCTACAGGGATGGGGCATCCACAGCCTCCTTGGGCAACCTGTTCCAGTGCCTCACCACCCTCTGGCTGAAAAACCTCCTCCTAATATCCAACCTAAACCTCCCCTGTCTCACTTTAAAACCATTCCCCTTTATCCTATCATGATCCACTCTTGTAAACAGCCATTCCCCCTCCTGTTTGCATGCTCCCTTCAAGTATAAACAGGAGGGGGAACAGCAGTTTACAGGGTGATTGTGACTGAAGGGGTTGAAGGGCTCTGATGTGATGCTGTGCCATGAGGGGGAGGTGAGGGCAGGGAGGTCCTGAGTGCTGCATATTGCCATGGGGTGCTGGGGGGGCTTGGAAGGTGGGTCCCTCCCCCCTGCCCGACAATAGCTGTGCCTCCAGTCTATGTGTATCACGTTCCAAGCGTGTGCAGCTGTGCAGGCACTGACCGGTGTTCAGACGCACACTGATGTCCAGCAGGTACAGTGCATCGCTGACACAATCCAGGCTCAGCCACAGCGCTGCGTGCCGCTCCTGCACCGCTGTGAAGCAGCACCTGGCCCAGCCGGCGGCGTCACCGGGCCGTTCCCTCCCCACATCCCACCTTTCCCAGCCCCGCGCCGCACCTGCAGATGATCACGACCCAATTGTACAGCACGGGCAGCACCATGGCGCTCAGCCACCAGTAGTAGCGCTCCCCGGAGGGGTCGAGGATCCATCCCCGGGCTTCGGCGGTGCTGCTGGGTGGAGGGAGCGGGGCGGTCGGGGCGCTGACATCGCACCAAGATGCTGCGCCTTCCCGCCCCACGTCACATCGCCCCACATCGTGGCCGGGGAAAGGGGAGCCCGGCTCACCGCTGTCCGCGTCCGGTGTCGGTGCCGGACTCGGCGGAGCCCCAGCGGCGGGACAGCACCGCGCCGGGGCCGCGCATGGTGAGGCGTGGCCGGGGGGTCCCGCAGCCTCCCACAGAGCGCGGTGCCGCGATCACGGCTGCGGGCTGCTCCTGGCAACGGGCGGTCCCCGGGGCCGTGGGGGCGGCGTGCGGGGGACGGGGCGGGGCCGTGCCACGGGGTGCGGGCGTGGGGTGCGGGGCACCGCGTGGGGACGGATCCCCGATGCCCGGTGCGGGGCTGTCCTCAGAGCGGGACCTCCGTGGCCCGCGGCTCTCCGTGACGCGGTGGTCGCACTGCCGGGCGCTGCCCCGCACGGCGCCCCGCACATCCCGCTCCGACCCCGGGGGTCCGCGCGGCCCCGCCCGCATCCCGCAGCGCCACGCCCATATTCAGGCCACGCCCACGACCACGCCCCATTCTTTCCGCAGCCAATGAGCGCGCGGTCTCTCCGCGCGGCTCCGCCCCCTCGCCCTCGGGCCACGCCCCCTCCCGGTGCTCAGGGCGGGGCCGCGGGGCGGGGCGCTGCGCGCCGTGCGTGGGGCGGCGGCGCGAAGATGGCGGCGGGCGCGCGGGGCCTTCGGCGGGGGCGGCCGGTGAGAACGGGGCGGGCGGCGGGGGGGTAGAAGCGCGGGGCGGGCGGGAGCGCGGCGGGGCGGGGCCTCGGGGCGGGAGGCGGCGGGGGCGGGGGGGTCGCGCCGTGCCCTTGGCGGGGGCGCGGGGTGCGGCGGGACCGCGGGGGCGGAGCGGGGCGGAGCCGGGGGGGATCCCGAGGGGGGGTTCGGCCCCGGGTCGGGCTCAGCGCCGCTCTCCTCCCCCCGCAGGAACGGCGCTGACGGCCGACGGCACGACCTTCACCCCCAGGTACGGGGCGGACCGGGGCGGTTCCCACCCGTTGTCGGTACGGCGGCTCCGCGGCCGTGCGGTGCGTCCGTCCCCGCGTCCGCCTCCTCTCCCTATTGCCGTTGGTGGGGTCCGGGCCATCCCGTGCGGTTCCCGACTCCCCCTTCCCCCGTTCCGTGCCGCGTGAGATCGGGGCGGCCCGGTGCCGCCCGGTGCCACGTGGGCCGGCGGCCGTTCCCCACCCGCAGCGCTTCCTTCGCGTCTCCGGTCCGTGTTGGGTTCCTGCGGTGCCATCGGCCCAAATGGGGCCGTGGAGGAGCGTTGGGGCCGGTCGGGTTCGGTGCCGTCAGCCCCATCTCGTGGCGCGGCGCCGCGTCCGTCCCGGTGCCGGCAGTGCTGTGGGAGCCGCTTTCTCCCTCTCTAACTTTAGCACCCGCAGCTGCGGTGCAACGGGAGCTCCTCGCCGCGTGGTATAAATACATCTGCGTGCTGCCCAAAATACACCGGGCGCGGTGACACCCCCGCCGTGCCGGGTTGGAACCGGTGCAGCTCCGCGGTGCTGCCGTGCCGGGGCTGTGGAGCTGCTCCGTGGCCCCGGGTTCCTCTGCTGCCTTCCCCTTTTGTGCTTTGGGGTTTCCTGAACGGCTGCTTTCATGCCCGGCGGTGTCAGCCCTGTGCCTTCCTCCCACCCCTGCTCCCGCTGCTTCCAAAGCACAAATGGGCGCAGGGTGTGTTTTGGGCACTGTGGGCCCAGGGGGGGCTCAGTGCTGACCCTGACTGCCACCCCGTGCCTCGCAGGGCTGTGCCGGCGCCCCCAGCCCCAGATGAGGGACGGAGGATCCCAGGGACGGGGATTGGGCCCCACACCTTCAGTCCCATGCGGGGTCTGTGGGTGCAGGCGCTGAGCACACGGGGAGCTGTGCAGGGTTGCTGGGCCACGGCTGCTTCCTGTGCCCAGCACAGCTCTCACGATGCCCTCGGGTGGCCCCACGCTCAGCTCCTGGCTCAAAGTGCAGCTCTGGGTGTGGAGCAGCGCTGTGTCACAGCCCTCCTCCACTCCACGCTTCCTTGTCCGTCCCAGCTCCTGTCCTGCCCTGGCACCCAGCAGCCTCTCCTTCCTGGTGCCTCCAGCAGAGGCAGCTCTGGGACCCCCTTCCCTTGGTGCTGCTCAGAGCCCTCTCATCCATTGCCCTGCGCTGGGACGCGGTGGTGCTGCTGGGTTCCAGCTGTGCCCGTGAGGTCTCTCTCACAGGTGGGTGACGTCCCCTGCCCTCCTGGCTCTGCGGTTGCTCCTTCTGGCTCTGTCCCTCTGGGCTGTGCCATGGGGGTGGCTGTGCACAAGGCCTGATGGCCAGGCTCCATGCCCATCCCCATATCAGTGTGGCAGCAGCATTTCCTTTGCCCTTGCCCTCACCCTCATCTGTACCCGGGGTCATGATGTGTGACTCATGGTGTGGGAGCTGTGGCTCTCAGTCCCTCCCCACGGAAGCACCCATGGAGCGGTGCCACCCCCAGAGCTGCCTGCAGGAGGTTGGGTGCAGCATGGGGCTGCGCTGAGGCAGGAGCAGTGGTGGGGAGGTGCTGGGGTGGTGCTGGGATAGCACTGGCGTGGCGTCAGAATGGTGCTGGGATGTACAGGGGTGGTTGTAGGGTGGTGCTGGCATAGTGCTGGAGGGGTGCTGAAATGGTGCCTGGATGGTTCTGGAGTGGTACCAGAACAGTGCTGGGGTGGTGCTGTGATGGTGCCAGATGGTGCTGGGATGGTGCTGCTGCCCCTTCCCTGTGCTGAATGCACTCCCCACAGCCCAGCAGCATGGAGTGTGTGGCCCTGCTTGCTGCCCGCTGCCCCGTGCCTGCACGGCACCGCACAGCCATTGGATCGGGCCGGGCCTGCGGGGCATCACAGCGCTGCCCCTGAGCCGTGCCCCTCCTGCGTCCCCATGGAGAGGATGAGCTGGCTGAGCAAACTGACCCCGCGCGGGGTTGGGCAGCGTGCTGCCCGTAGCGCCAGCCTGCAGAGCCCCGTCACCGCCGACCCCGAGACCTGCTTGATGGTCTTCAAGAACCACTGGGCGCAGGTGAGCCGGTGCCGGGTGGTGGGGATGGGGTGACCCCCAGGGTGGGCGCTGATGGCTCTGCCTGCAGGTGCTGCGCATCCTGGAGCGCCGCGGCTGCACCCCAGCCCCCGACGACCTGAGCGCAGTGCGGAACAACACCTACCAGCTGCTCAACCTGCTGGCCGAGGACCGGCCGCGCGGCGAGGCCAACGCGGGGCCCATCCTGGAGTTTGTGGTAGCTGAAAATCTGCTGGAGCGGCTGCTGGGCTGGCACCTGCAGGGCGACTTTGGCGAGGAGCGCAAGGTGGAGCAGCTGAAGCTGTATGAGATGCTCATCAGCCAGGCCCGGCAGCCCCTCCTGCGGCACCGTGCCGTGCTCACGCCGCTGCTGCGCCTGCTCAGCCTCTGCGCCGAGCCCAGCTCCGCACCACTGGAGAACAGCCTGGTGCTGCTGCTCAACCAGCTCTGCGTCTCGGTGGCCAAAGAGCCCGCCATCCTGGAGCTCTTCTTTCACAGCCACACCGACCAGGGTCCCGCCAACCTCATCATCTTCTCCCTCCTCATCCCTTTCATCCACCACGAGGGCGTGCTGGGGCAGCAGGCCCGCGATGCGCTGCTGCTCATCATGGCCATGTCAGCCAGCAACCACGCCGTCGCCAAGTCCATCACCGACAATTCCTACTTCTGCCCGGTAAGGCTAGTGTGGTGCTGGAGCTGCTGGGTGTTGTGTGCCCCAGGACCACACTCAGTGCTTGTACCCACAGGTCTTGGCCACGGGGCTGAGTGCGCTGTACTCCTCGCTGCCCCGCAAGATCGAGGTGCGCGGGGACGACTGGCACTGCCTGCGCCGCGAGGACTGGATCGGGGTCTCCTCCCTTGTGCTCTTCATGAACTCATTGGAATTCTGTAACGCCGTCATCCAGGTGGGGCTCTTGGTGACGTGGGGCGATGCAGGCTGGCACGGGCAGCCCTGACCCCTGCGCCCTGCAGGTTGCCCACCCACTGGTGCAGAAGCAGTTGGTGGATTACGTGCACAACGGGTTCCTGGTGCCCGTCATGGGACCGGCACTGCACAAGGTAGGGACATCCCACCAGTGGTGCCGTGGGGCACGCTGCGGTGCACCCAGAGCGCTTCCAGCTGCTGCTCCCCATGCAGACCTCCATCGAGGAGATGATTGCCAGCACCGCCTACCTGGACCTGTTCCTGCGCAGCGTCAGTGAGACGGCTCTGCTGAAAACCTTCCTGCGCTTTGTGCTGCTGCACCGGCACGACAACACCACCATCCTCGACACGCTTGTCAGCCGCATCAACAGCAACTCGCGGGTGAGTGGTGGGGCAGGGCATGCAGGGACCCAAACGTGCAGCTGCCTCATGTCTCCTCTGTCCCCAGCTCTGCATGGTGTCCCTGAGCCTCTTCCGGACGCTGCTCAGTCTCAACTGTGAGGACGTGATGCTGCAGCTGGTGCTTAGGTACTGCCCTGCTGTGCAGTGCTGGGATGGGGCGTCGCCCTGTGGGCACTGGGATGAGGCGTGGCTGTGGCATGCATGGACGTGGGGTGCATCTCCAGAGGATGTGATGTAGGATGGGATGGGGCTGGGATGGTGCTACATGGGTGCTGGGATGGACATGGCTGTGTCCTGCGGGGGGTACGTGGGATCTGATGGGCAGTATGAGACAGGGCTGGGGTGTCACCATGGGTGCTGAAAAGGGCACAGCCATGTCCCAGGGTTGGCATCTCCAGGGGGTTCATTGGCAGGATAGCAGAGGGCTGGGATGTCACTAAGTGGACGCTGAATGGGCACAACTGTGGCCTGAGGGTGGCAACTTCAGAGGATCCAGTGGCAGGATGGGATGGGGCTGGGATGTTGCCATGTGGGCACTAGAATCAGACATGGCTGTGGCATGCAAGGAATGGTATGGGGGACATACCCAGGGGGTCCGGTGGCAGTATGGGATGGGGCAGGGATATCATCATGCTGGTACTGGGATAGGCAGGGCTGTGTCCCATAGAGGAAATCCCCAGGAGTTGAAATGACAGGGCAGAATGGCATGGTGCTGGTGCCTGCTGCCCCTGCCCTGCGGTCCCATTGCTTCCTCGCTCACACAGCCCCACATCCCACCAGGTACCTGCTGCCCTGCAGCCACGTCATGCTGAGCCAGAAGCGGGCGGTGCGGGACCTGGACATCTATGGCAAGACAGCCGCCAAGTTCCTCTCGCTCATCCCACGCTGCTGCCGCCCTGAGAATGTACCACTGCCAGAGCGGGACGAGGAGCACACGGCATGGGCAAAGGGTACGGCACCAGCACTGCAGGACCACACAGCACATCACCCCCAGCCCTGCGCTGCTGAGCACTGTCTCCTCTCCATAGGGCAGAGCAGCCCCAGCGTGGACGTGTCCTCAGCAGTGCCGGTGCCGCGGCCCTCCACGCCATCACGTCTCGCTTTCTTCATGAGGCAGCAGAGTGGCGGTCCAGAGGCAGCCGGCACAGCGCCGCGCTCCCCCGGCACACCAAGTGGCAGCCCTGCACACCGGGCTGCCCGCTGGGAGGAGGTGGCAGAGCTGGACAGGAACTACCTGGAGTACCTGCGTGATGCGCGCCGCAGCATCGACCGCTGTGCATGGGCGTGCCGCGTCTGGTCAGCCCCCTATGATGGCGAGGAGCCTGCGGCCCCTGGAACCACCCCCGACGTGACCCCTCTGCCTGACAGCACCCCAGGGCCCCCCACCCCGCGGACTAAGAAGCGGGGGTTGCCTGAGGAGGGAGCAGGGAGGGCTCCCAGCCCCAGTGAGCCCCACGCTGTGGGGCCCAGCCCTGATGCACGGGACTTGGGGGCACTGGTGAATGGGGCGCATGGGCACACGGAGCCAGGGCGGCCCGAGGGGGACGTGGTGGTGAAGAAAGTGCGCAGGAGTCCGCGAGGCGAGGGGCTGGCACACAACGGGGCCCGGGCGCAGGCTGCGGGCTGGGAGCCCCCACGCTCGGTGGACTCACTGCTGGAGGAGCTGCTGGCCAAGGCACCAGCTGAACCCAACGGGGCGGGTGTCAGTATTGAGGCCTTCACCCAGGAGCTGCGAGAGATTGAGGCCGAGATGGAGAACGGGGCCAGGGCTGAGCCGCCTGCCGTGCCTGAGCCACTGCTGTCCCGTGAGGAGGAGGAGGCCTACGCCAGCTTTGCCACTCTGCCTGAGGGCGAGGAGGCACCGGGCCGTGTGCGGGCACTGGACCCGCTGGCACAGGCCGTGGCCAGCCCACCACGCACTGTAGGACCACCTCACAGCCAACCCTTCACAGGTGGGGCTGAACGGGGTGCAGACGGGAATACTTCTGTGTCCCATCCCATGGTCACACCCTGACACTTGCACCCACCCACAGGGCCCTTCATGACGGTGCTCTTTGGTAAGCTGGAGAACATGCTGCACAACTCCCTCTACGTGAACTTCCTGCTGACGGGGCTGGTGGCCCAGCTGGCCTGCTACCCACAGCCGCTGCTGCGCTCCTTCCTGCTCAACACCAACATGGTCTTCCAGCCCAGCGTCAAATCGTTGCTGCAGGTTGGGTGCTGGTTGCGCTGTCCGTGGTGCTGGTTGCGCTGTCCGTGGTGCTGCCCGTTGCTCCTTCCCCCCATCCTGTCCCATCCATCCCATCTAGTCCTTTATGTCCCATCCCGCAGGTGCTTGGCTCGGTGAAGAACAAGATCGAAAGCTTTGCTGCCAGTCAGGAGGACTTCCCCACGCTGCTCTTCAAGGCCAAGAAGTACCTGATTGCTCGTGGCAAGCTGGACTGGGCTGATGCACCAGGTGTCATGCCGGCGCTGCGCCGCTCAGAGACGTTGGGTGAGATGGGGACAGAGCTGCTGCCATGGGGCTGGGGGTACTGAGGGTGCACTGTGTGTGGGGGTGCCTATGGTGCTACATGGGGTGTGGGAGCTGCTTGAGAAGATGGGGAGCTCATGTCCCTTTGTGTGGAGGGCTGGGGGTTGCTATGGTGAAGGGGCTGTAGCACCGGAGTTAAGGAGCTTCACATTGTGTTGCATGGGGGCTGTGTGCTGTTCTGGGTGCTGCATGCAAGACTTGGGTCTGCCTCTTCCTTGCTGCTGCATGCTACATGGCACTAGGGGCTGCACTGCACTGGCGTCTGCACGTGGCAGTCTCCCAGGGCTGGGTTTTGCTTCTCCATTGCAGCACACAGCTCCTAGACCATAGCAGCATTGCACCGGGGGCTGCATGCGGCACTGCATGCAAACTGATCTCTGCCTCCCCCTTGCTCCATTGCACTGGGGGCTGCACATGGCAGCCTAGGCTCTGGCTCACATCATGCACTGGGTTGTGCCCCGTGCCACACCCCAAGGCACAGCCCCGTGCATGGCTTGGGGTGCTGCATAGGTTCCATGCTATGCCCCACGCCTTGCCCTGGGCCGTGTCCCAGGCTGTGCCTGTGGCATCTCGCGTTCGCGGTCCCTCAGCTGACGCAGCCCCTCAGCCCGCAGCCGGAAACCGTCGCTGGGCGAGCTGATCCTGCGGCACACCAACAGCCCGACGCGGGCACGGCAGGCGGCACAGCTGGCGCTGCAGCAGGTGCGGGACGGGCCGGTGCTGCAGGCGCTGGCGGGAGCCACGCTGTTCCGCGGCTCGGCCGAGAAGCAGAGCGAGGCGCTGCGGGTCAAGAACGCCGTGTACTGCGCCGTCATCTTCAGCGAGTTCCTGAAGGAGCTGGCGGCCATCGCCCAGGCGCACGCTGTCACCTCCCCCTTCCTCTCCGAGCCGCCCGAGGAGTGACCCTGGTGGCTGCTTTTTAACTGCGCGCGGGGCACGGACCTTTTTAATTTATTTGGGATGAATGTTCTGCCGGGAGCTGGCCCTGGGCGGCCGCGGGGATACGTGGGGACGGCAGGGCCGGACGGTGCCACCTGGCGTGGGGCGGGCTGGCTCTGCCCCCTGCCGCCCCCGTGGCCCCAATGTCACCCTCCACCCACCCGCTCCTCTCTATGCAATGCCCCGCTCCGTGGGGTGGCTGTGGGGCAGGGTGGGGGCGCGGGGCCGGGTGGTGCATGGGGGGCCGGTGTGTCTGTGCTGTGTATAAGCCCTTCTGTAATAAAGGGTCTGGTTGAGGGCACTGCTGCCGCCTCTCTGCGGGGCTGGAGAGGAAGGAACCCCAGATGGGGTTCACTGTATCATGCTGGGGGAGGGGGGGAGGCTACGGAATCTTGGGTTCACTGAGGTTGGAAAAGATCTCCAAGATCCCCAACCCGTTCCCACTGTGCTCACTGACCACGTCCCTCAGTGTCACATCCACATGGTTCTGGAACACCCCCAGAGGTAGTGATTCCCCCAACTCCCTGGGCAGCCATGCCAGAGCATTGCTGCTCCTTGGGAGAAAGAATCTTCCCTAATACACTTCTTGATCTTCCCTGCATGGGGTGTGTCGGGGGGGTATCACTGGAGCCTGTTGTGCTTTAGGGACTGAGGATGTTGGCTGGCACCGTGGGTGCTGTTGTGGCCATTGAGTGGCTGCTGGAGGAGGCAGTGGGGCAGATCGGCGAGCTCTTTGGCTCTTTGCTCAGCACCATGGCCCATTGGTTGCTGGCTCTGTTGATGCTGGTGCTGTGGGCTCCAGCCCTGTGTGCTGTGGTGATTCCCATCCAGATATCTCTGTTCTTGCCAGCACATCCTGCGCTGTCCACCCCTTGGTCAACATTTGCCCCCCAGCAGACCAGGGTGCTGAGCATGGCCCATGATGCTGTGCACCCATCTGTCCACTTCATCTTCCATCAGCAACTCCACAAGCTTGCTGTGGGCTGGATGCACACAGAGGGCAGCCACGGAGGATGCAATGTGCCCATCACCGTGTTTGGGCTGGCATCACGGGCAGCAGCAATGAACTGCCCTTGTCTGGCCCTTGGTACACATGGATGCAGTGAAGGATGTCCTTGCAGGCACCTGCAGCACCACAGTCTTCAGCATTTACCCTGTCCATGTTGGCATCCCCTCCTGCATTCTCACTCTCCACCATGACATTCCAGATGCACAAATAGAAGGACCCACGTGGCTGTGCCTTGGGAGGAGTGCCCCACTGCTGCTGGTAGCTCTTTCCATGAGATCCGTCACATCTCTGGTTCTTTACACTAAAATATGCTGCAGTAATTTCCTGATGGAACACGGTTCAATGTGGTACCTGTGTCGGTTGGTGAGCAGCACATCCCAGTGCTCACATCCACCAACCCAACGTTCACCAGAGCCTCTTCCTACAGAGCAGTGCTGGTAGGTGTTAATTATCCATGCAGTGGATAATTAAAGAAACCAAAGATGCACACAGCTGTAGAAATCCTTCTGCAGGGTAACATCGTTGCTGTGGGGTCACTGGCAGCTCACATGACACTGCCATCACCAGACTGCTGACACAGTGGTGCACCCTGACAGCAAAGCAGTGCCAACACTTTTGGGTTCTCTGCTGCATTGGGATACTCAGGTTCTGGGGCAATGTTTGAGCAGAGATGGGGAACAGAACCAGGAATGTTCTGCAGGCAGTACCCATGGCTGGGGTCAGGAGTCTGGGTGCTGGGAGCAGAGACAGCCCAGGGCTCCCTTCACCCTGCAGAGCTGCAGGAGCCTCCAAGCAGCTGTGTTCCTCCCACACAGCACTGCAGCTCCTGGGGGTGGTGGGGATCCAAAATTAGGCCCAAGCAGCATTTCTCATTTTTCTGTCCTGGAAACCACTTCCACCAGCAAAGATGCACAGATTAACACCTAAACCCCGTGGAGTTGGAACAGCCCTGGCAGCTCCTGCTGTGCTCCACTTTCCCTGCAGGTGGACGATGCTGGGGGTGGTGGGGTGGGGAGGGTGCAGGGGGGGCCCTGAGCACAAATCTCTGTGTCTGCTGAGATGCCCGAGTGAGCCAGGTGCTCACATGTGAGCCCATGGAAGGGCTGCTGGCACTGCGTTATCTGTGTGGATCCTCCAGGCAGGAGGAGCTCTGATGGATCCCAGAGGAAAGGACACGGCACTTCTGTCCCTTGTGGCACAGTGCATCCATCCCAGCCACCCCTCTGCAGTAAGGGACTGGGGAGTGGAGTGGGATGATGCACCAGGGTCTGGGGGGGAACAAACACCTGGAGCACAGCTGAGCTGTGTGCAGGGCACTGTGAGCTGGAGGAGACAGTGCAGGGACCAGTGGGGACCTATGGAAGGCAGCAGCAGGACTCATCACCCCCTGGGAGGCCATTGGGGTGCAGGGAACGGTGCAGCCCAGGTCTCCTCTTGCCTTCCTTCCTGCCCAGCCCTGACTCATTTCCTGCCTGTGTGGGGCCAGACTCCCAGCACTTTGCCCAGAGCACACCTCGCTGCAGCCCTACAGCTGAGCTGCATGCAGTGGGGCTCTGTACCCCGTGGGGACATCAGGTTTGTACAGCAGTGCCTCTACATGTCCCATGCAGTGGGACCACAATGTGATGCTCACACGGATGCTCTGTGCCACAGCATCTCCATGCCACAGCGTCCTGTCCCAATGGCCTCAGGGACATTTCCTCAGGCCTGGGGCTGCATTAGGGATGTGGAGGAAGGTTGGGAGGGTGGAGACCCTGACCACAGCCACTGGGAGCTGTGGGGTCCTTAGGGCTGCATGGTACCAAGCTGATGCCCGATGCTTGGTGCCAACAAAGGCAGCATGCAGGGTTTGTAAGGGAGGAGCAGCTCTTGCACTGCAAGCACTGCCCATGGATGCAGAGCCTCCATCCCCACGTCCCCACCAGCAGGGGGTCAGCCAGCCCACAGCTATGGGATTGGGGTGTACCCAGACTGTCACATCTGTGCTCTGAGCTCTGTGCCTTCCCCACAGACCCACATTGCTGGGCTGGGGATGGTGCACACTTGCTGCTTGCTGGCCAAGCTCCACCTCAAGACTCACTGGCATATTTTTGGCCCCACGCAGCTCGCAGCTCCGTTTCTGTGCTGCCAATGGCCATCTATGGCTAACAGAAGCCTGTGCTTCCTGCCGGCTAAGCTGTGGGCTGGGACAGGAAACACAGCTGAGCAGTTCAGCAACAGTGCTGGCTGACAGTGCACAGCAGCAGCTCCACTGTGTACCCTCTGATTGATGCATGGAACAGAGCCCAAGGCAATCGGGGTCCTGGAGGGATCACCAGTTTGGAGGAATGGGGTGTGCTGGGCAGGGAGCAGTGGGTGTCATTGGGGTTCAGTCTGGAGAAAAAGAGGCTCAGGAGAGACCTTATGGCTCTGTACAACTGCCTGAAAGGAGGTTGTGTTTGAGAGAGGTTGGCATCTGCTCCCAGATAACAGCAAAAGAACAAGACGGAATGGATTCAATTTGCACCAAGGGTGGATCAGGTTGGGTATTAGGAAGAATTTCTTCTCAGAGAATGTTCAGGTGCTGGAACGGGCTGCCTGGGGAAGTGGGGGAGTCATCATCCCTGGAGGTGTTAAAGAAATGTGTAGATGTGATACAAAGGGATGTGGTTTAGTGGGAAAATAGGTGGATGGTTGTGCTGGATGATCTCGGGGATCTTTTGCAACTTTGGTGATTCTTCGATTCTATGGCATCCCCGAGCAGCATGGCCTCCTCACAATTGGCCACAGCATTCCTCAGCAGGCAGAGCATCCCCAAGCAGCCATGGCACTCCAGAAGGCAAAACATCCCCAAGTGCCATGACATCTCCATGCAGCTCGGCAGCACCACACACACAACAGTTGTGTTTCCAGCACAGTGCAGGGGATGGAGGGGCAGTTGAGACAGTTGAGGCTGTGCTTGAGCTTCCCTTCTGCTTCGTGTGCTCGGTCACTCACTGTGCTTTGGAGTGCACAGAGGGACCCCCTCTCAGAGCCTGTGGGCTCAGGCAACTCAGCTGCCCCTCTGCATCTGCTTTCCTTACTTCCCACATGCTCAGAATTCCTGACAGCTGGAATGGAATAGCTCAACCTAAAGGGACCTTCACAGATCACAGAATCATAGAATGACCTGGGTTAGAAGGGACCCCAAGGATCATCGAGTTCCAACCCCCTGCCACAAGCAGGGCCACCAACTTCCAGATCTGGTACTAGACCTGGCTGCCCAGAGCCCCATCCAACCTGGTCTGAGCACCCAGGGGCAGAGCACCCATAACTTCCTGCAGCCTGTTCCAGCACCTCACCACTCTATCTGTGAAGAACTTCTCCCTTCCCCCTTGTCCTACCAATATCTACACTTGTAAAAGTTTACAAGTCCTGTTGTAAAAGTCCTGTTTATAATCCCCTTTTAAGTACTGAAGGCTGCAATGAGCTCACCCTGCAGCCTTCTCTCCTCCAGGCTGAACAGCCTGTCTTTGTAGGGGAGGTGCTGCAACCCCCTGATCATCTTTGTGGCCTCCTCTGGACCCTCTCCAACAGCTCCCTTTCTTGTATTGGGGTCCTCAGACCTGGACACAGTACTCCTGATGGGGCCTCACAAGGGTAGAGCAGAGAGGGACAATCACTTCCCTGTCCCTGCTGGCCACCTCTGTGCTGATGGAGCCCAGGATCCCATTTGCTTTCCGAGCTGCAGGAGCACACTGCTGGCTCATGTTCAGTTTTTCACCCACCAGGACCCCCAGGTCCTTCTCTGCAGGGCTGCTCTCAGAGTTCTTCTCCCATTCTGTATACGTATCTGGATTACTCAGACCCAACTGCAAAACCTCACACTTTGCTAGGTTGAATCTCATTAGGTTCACACAGACCCACCTTTAGTGTTGACTGAGGTCCCTTTGGTGGGACCTTCCTTCCCATCCCTCCTTTTCAACCTGTCAACCACACCCCTCAGCTTGGTGTCATTAACAAATTTGCTCAGGGCGCACTCGAGCCCACCATTAACGTCACTGATGACGTTGAAGAGCTCTAGTACCAAGACAGACCCCTGTGGGACACCACTGATCATCACCTCCACCTGAACAGAGCCATTGACCACCACTCTGTGTCCTACAGAGGGGCTCGTTCAGATCTCAGAATATCACCTGTAACTAGTCCAACTGTAAGCAACTGCCACCTCTACGCAAACCTATAGGAAAAGCATTTTCTTCAGCATTAATTCCCATTTCCTTCAACTGCTGACACCACACCCTTGCAAGATGTGCTTAAAACTTTGTGCGGAA